TTTTTTTTTTTTTTAAGAAAAGGGGAAATGAAGAAACACACAAACAGACACACAAACGCGCACACACACACACAAACAAAAAAAAGCAAGTTGGAATTTGGTTGGCTTTGCTTCCCTTTCTTCGGATTCGGACCCAACAGGAAAAAAAAAAGAGAGAAAGAGAATGGATTTCTTTTCATCAGAAGGCTGGTTTTGATTGACAGAGCGAAGAGGGGAGGGAGGGGGGAGCCGGAGTGAGTTGTTGGTTTTGTTTTTTTTGCTGGTGATGTGGCGCCCCCTGGTGGTCGGTGCTTGGAACGACATGCCGGACTTCTTTAAAAACATCTCCAGGCGGATTGGTTTTCCTTTGGTTGAATTAATATTATTCTAATATTATTCTTATTTTTATTGGGGAGGGGAGGCGGCACCCCCCAACCGCCCCCCCACACACCCCAACGACCAATAACAGCAAAACATTTTCAAAAAAGAAGGAGAGAAAAGCAACTCATTTGAGGATGGTGAGGACCGTTGCACCGAACTTTGCTGCGAGGCTGTTTAAGGATGTATCATAGGGTTTTTTGCTCCTAGCTTCTTTATTTTGTATAAAGAAGAAACAAATAAAGTATGTTTTTGTGTTTATTGATCATTTATTCTGTCGAGGATCTGCAGGGCCAAGGCGGCCCTGAACGAAAAGAATGCATGCCGAATTGGTATGGGAAATGAGAAAAATAGCCATATCTACATAATAACCAAAACAAATTTTACAATTTTTGAGGCTGTGGTTTTTCTTGAGAAAATATCCGGTTTGAATGGAAGAAGAAATGGAATCGAATCTTTCATACTGTCACAAACCAGCATAAAGGGGTCAAGTGTAAAGACTTGTGGACTTCAACTCCCAGAATTCCTCAACCAGCCACGGGAGTTAAGCCTCCAGTGATGGAGCACCCACAAGTTTTGAAGGCAAGCCCTGGTTAATTGTTCTCACTGTTAAGAAAGTTCTAGACTGCTTCTCTCCTTGATCAGCTTCCATCCATTGCTTCTTGTCCTGCCTTCAGGGGCTTTGGAGAATAATAGGGTTGCAAGGGACATTGAAGATCATCTAGTCCAGCCCCCTGCTCAAGCAGGAGACCCAATACCATCTCAGACAAGTGGCTGTCCAGTCTCTTCTTAAAATCCTCCAGTGATGGAGCGCCCACCAATTCTGAAGGCAAGCCATTATTAACCGGAGAATCTTTGCTGCTGTGAAAAATTTACCGTTGGGATCCTAAACCGATCGCATCACATTTTCAAAACGTCAATATTATGGGCTGCCTGGAGCCAGCATCCGGATCGATCACTCAAATCAAACATGACCCGCTCAAAAAGGAATTGCCGATCCCGGATTCAACTAATCCAACCCCAAATCAAATATTAACACCTCCCATCTTTGCCCCCAAGCAGTCCGTGGTTATTCTCAAGCTCCTCCAACGGAACAGTTCTCTTAAGGCCCACCCCCCCAAGCCAAAGGCAGTGGTGGTGACGGGAGAGGAACTGCCATAATTAAAAATAATTATGACAATAATGCAGGCAGACACTAGCAAATAAGTGAGTCTAAGTTGGCACGCTTGCTAATTGCAGTGCAGAGTCGCCGTCAACACAAGGCGACTCTGGATAAACATTGATGGGGCTAAATCACCATTGGATGCAAACAATGCAGGAGTTGCCTCTGGGGGAGGAGAGAGCTGCTGTTTAAAGAGATGGAAAGAAACAGAAATCAAAATTTAAATAAGTCTGCCAAAGAAGGCGACTGATAAATTTAATACATGCAGTTAGTTGACTGACGGCTGTCCATTTTGCACATGTACAACTGTTGCGGCACCCTCCCCCGGGTCTGTTTGCATTTGTGTTTTATTTTTGGAGAAATTGCAACAAGTTGGTATTTCCTCATTTGGTTTGTAGAGGTTTTTATTATTCCATTTTGCTGTGCATATCACACAAGGCCTTTCGTTTTTGCAACAATAATTTCAATGACGAATCTAGCAAGCAAATTAATAGATTAATGTTTCATGGATTTTATTTTCCTTCCTTCCCTCCCTCCCTTCCTTCTCCTTTCTTTCTTTCTTTCTTTCTTTCTTTCTTTCTTTCTTTCTTTCTTTCTTTCTTTCTTTCTTCCTTCCTTCCTTCCTTCCTTCCTTCCTTCCTTCCTTCCTTCCTTTCTTTCTTTCTTTCTTTCTTTCTCTCCTCTTATATGATCGGTTTACTTTCATCAATGTAGTCTACGCTAATGGTTATTTTTTTAACCGCGCAACCCCTGAAATATGTTTTGCTTCTTTCTTTCTTATACTGTACATCCTTAGCACTATAACAATCATAAGCAAAAAAAAAAGGGGGGGGGGAAATCCAGCACATTCACTCTATGAATTCAGTCATGATTCATTTTATTTATTTATTTCTCTTGATTATGAAAGCTTCTGCAACACTTCGATCGTGAAACTGCTTGGAGTTAATAAAACCAAGGTTGTCCGGTTGATCTCGGGGGCCTCCATTGCATCACACGAAGGAGGTCAACTGCAGCTCTATGGAGCCTGCTGAACTGCAGTGAGTGTCGGTGGCTGGGACAGCTGGGAGGAGTAGTCCTGTAGTACAGTTAATCCCCCGACTAACCACGGTTCATTTAGTGGCCATTCAAAGCTACAGCGGCACTTAAAAAAACTGACTTAGGACCGTTTTTCACAGCGGTGACCTTTGCGGGCGTCCCCAGGGTCACATGATCAAAATTCAGACGCTTGGCAACTGACTCACACTTACGACGCTCACAAGGTGTGCCAGGGTCACGTGTGATCCCCTTTTGCGACGTTCCGATGAGCAAAGCCGATAGGGGAACCAAATTCACCTGCAACTTTAACAGCTGCAGGGATTCGCTTAACAGGCACAGCAAATCAGGTCATAAAATGGGGCACAATTCACTTAAGCACCTAGCGGGAGAAATCTTGGGCTCCGTTGGGGCCGAAAGCCGAGGACTGCTGTCCCGAAAAGGGCTCTGATTAAGCATCTAACTACCGGCGTGGTTGGTAATCAGGGGCGTCTAAACAAGAAGCCCACCAGAAGCTTCATTTCATGCCCAGGTGCTTCTTCATAGCCTGGAGACCCCGCAGGCTGATGCCGCTCCCCCCACAGACGATGAGGACTATGGACTCCAAGGCCTGGCTTAGCCTTCCCTCTTTCTGCAGCTGCTGTAGGTAGCCTGAATATAGGAGGGCCAGTGAGGCACCACAAGCCGGGTCCACCAATATCCGTTCATCATCTGAGAAAGAGACAAGAAACCCCTGGTCAGCCAATCAGAAGCAAAGAATGGGATGGCAGCCAATCAGAAAAGCAGAAAGAATGGAGCCAGCCAGGAATCCAGAAGCAAGAGAGGTCTGAATTTGAGAAGAACCTTCAGAGGTTCTAAGCTGGCTCTTCTGCCTGGTTTGTAGAATTGAGATGTCCTATTTTATTCATCAGATTAGAGCTGGAAGGAGCCTTGGAGGTCATCTAGTCCAACCCCTTGCTCAAGCAGGAGACCCTGTACCCTTTCAGACAAGTGGTTGTCCAATCTCTTCTGAAAAACGTCCAGTATCGGAGCAACCACAACTTCTGGTGGCAAGCTGTTCCACTGGTTAATTGCTCTCACTGTTAGGAAGTTTCTCCTTAATTCCAGGTTGCTTCTCTCCTTGATTCTAGTCTTCTACTCGGAGGGGTGTCCAGCTGGAAGAGTGTCAGGCCGAATCTTGCCAGGCTAAAGCTACAGCTTTCTAAACCCAGTGTTCCTCAACCTTTTGCAACTTTAAGATTTGTGGACTTCAAGTCCCAGAATTGCCCAGCCAGTCGTAAGTCAAGGACTACTTGTACATTTGGAAAGAAGTCCCAACGGTGCTTTTTTTTTTTTCCAAAGGCAAGTGGACTTTGTTTTTTCCTTGAAGACCGTTTGGCTTCTCATCCAAGAAGCTTCTTCAGTTCTGCTGAAGAACTGAAGCTGCTTCTTGGAGGAGAAGCGAAACATCTTCAAGGAAAAAACAAAGTCCACTTCCCTTTTGAAAAACAAAAAAAGCAACTTTGGGACAAGCAGGATCTGGATGACTGAAAGAAGGCAGTGACCAACAAACCATGTTCTCTTGCCCAGAAAATTATATGGACCTGTCCATGAAGTCCTCGGAAGTCAACCTTGAGTTGAAGGAGACTACCTTGTATAAACAGATCAATGAATTAATCCGTAAAATAAATAGGTAGTATCTATGAAGGTCTGGACATATTCCTGGCGTCAACCACAGGAGATGCGCAATGAATTCTCTATAGAGTTGTGTGTGTCTCTTCGGGACTCAAAACAACCACCCAACCTCCTGCTCCATCTCTCAAGGTCAACCTCCGAACCTCACCCAGAAATTGCTCCACAGCTTCCACAGCTTCCACGTCCTCCAAAACGTGAGAGATGATTGGGCATTCCTTGGTACAGTCTAGGGCCCTCTGAGCCACCGTCTTAGCCCCAAGGCACTTGGCCACACTGCAGAAAGATGAATAATAAAAAAAAAAAAAATCAGGGGTAGAAAAGATCAGCTATCAAAGATCAAAGGAAGTGGGTGGAGTTCCCCTACAGTTTCTTCAGGGATGTATTTCGCTGTTTCCCCCCTTGTGTCGCAGATCAGGTTTACAATTTGGAATAAGAATGTAAAATCCTGACTGATCCATCACAGGCCAAGAAGAAAAGAGAATGGGTGGAGCTTCTGTTTTGATAATACAATAGAGCGAGGGAGGGAGGGAAGGAGGAAGGAAGGAAGGAAGAAAAAGAAAAAAAGAAGGAAGGAAGGAAGGAAGGAAGGAAGGAAGGAAGGAAGGAAGGAAGGAAGGAAGGAAGGAAGGAAGGATGATGGGAAAGAAGGAAGGAAGGAAAGAAGATGAAAGTGATGAAAAGGGAGGGAAGAAGGAAGGAAGGAAGAAAAAGAAAGAAAAAGAAAGAAAAAGAGAAAGAAAGAAAGAAGAAAGAAAGAAAGAAAGAAGAAAGAAAGAAAGAAAGAAAGAAAGAAAGAAAGAAAGAAAGAAAGAAGGAGAGAGGGAAGGAAGGAAGATGACGGGAAAGAAGGAAGAAAAGATGAAAGTGATGAAAAGGGAGGGCGGGCGGAAGGAAAGAAGATGAAAGTGATGAAAAGAGGGAGGGAGGAAAGAAGGAAGAAATGAAGGAAGGAAGCAAGTAAGCAAGCAAAGAAGATGAAAGTGATGAAAAGGGAGGGAGGAAAGGAAGGAAGGAAGGGAGGGAGGGAGGGAGGGAGGGAGGACTCTTCTACAGCCTTATAGTGAAGTTCAGCTCCAGACCAGGACGTACCTGGTGATGTCGGGCAAAGTGACCAGCTGCCCAGCCTGGATGGCTGCATTAAAACTCTCAGCTCCTCTGGTCTCCACAGCAACGATGGGGACGTCCGACCAGCCCACTTCCTGCAGGCCGGAGACCACTCCAGCCAGAAGACCCCCACCTCCCACCGACAGCACAATGGCTCCCGGCCGGGTCCCTAGGGAGCCCTTCAGCTCCTTGACGATGCTGCCGTGTCCTTTCCTGCAAGGAGAGACAGGGAGAGCCCCGGTCATCCGAGCCACTCCCCAAAGCTGCCTTGGGGGCAGGAGGTCTGCTCCAGACTGAGGGCAGAGCGAGCGCCAACATTTAAGTCACGTCGATTTATTTATTAGATTTTTATCCCTGCCTTTCGTTACTTTCCGAATAGCTGACAAACATCTCCAATGCAACCTCGGCTTAACAGCCGTTCGTTTAGTGACCGTTCAAAGGCTCAACAGCCTTGAGAAAAGCTACCCATGACCGTTTTCCACACTTACGACCGTTGCGGTATCCCCACGGTCCCGTGATCGAAATTCAGAGGCTTGGCAACTGGCATGTACTTATGACGGTTGCAGTGCCTTGACTCTCGTGATCCCCTTTTGCCGCCTTCTGACAAATAAATTCAGCCAGGAAGCCGGAGTCACTCAACAACCAGGTCGCTAATTTAAGAACCGCAGCGATTCCCTTAGGAGATTGTAACGTGGGGCAAAACCCCCTCCCCAAATGTCTCAGTGACAGAAACGGGGGTCAATGGTGATCGTAAGTTGAGGACTCCTTCCTCTTCCAAAAGTTGAATGGCCTAGAACTAAAGAGAAACTTCCTGACAGTGAGAACAATTAACCAGTGGAACAACCTGCCTCCAGAAGAGGTGAATGCTCCAACACTGGAAGTTTTTAAGAAGAGACTGGACAGCCATTTGTCTGAAATGGTATAGGGTTTCCTGCCTGAGCAGGGGGTTGGACTAGATGACCTCCAAGGTCCCTTCCAACTTTACTATTATTATTATAGATGTGAGCCGCAGTCAACTGAACATTCAAATTGACTGGCGCTAATGGTTGACATCATCATCATCATCATCATCATTATTATTATTATTATTATTACTATCTTGGAATAGGTTTCTTACCAGACTAGTGGGTGGTCAAAAGGATGGATATTGACCCAACCGTCAGTCTTAGCTAGTGCCATCGCTCGCTCATTAGCATCGTCCCAGACCTGCCAGGATGACCAACAGGGAAAACTCGAATTCAGTGGAAAGCAGCATTCAAATCAAGAAGCATGACATCCCCTAAATCAGGGGTCCCCAACCCCCAGTCTGTGGCCACAGCATGCCAGCAACCGGTCCGTGCAAACAAGCGAAGCCTCATCTGCGGGATGCCGGCAACACACGAAACCATGTCTCCCTCCGGTCCGTGGAAGAATCTTTCTCCATGGAACCAGTCCCTGGTGCCCCAAAGGTTGGGAAGGGGGTGCTGCCTTAAACAATCCTGTGCAGTGGATCGGGCTGGAAAGGGTGGGTTTAGACTGAGGGAGTAGAGTAGAGTAGAGTAGAGTAGAGTAGAATAGAATTACAGAATAGAATAGAAATACAGAATAGAATAGAATATAGATGAAATAGAATAGAATAGAATTATAGAATAGAATTACAGAATATAATATAATAGAATAGAATATAGATGGAATAGAATAGAATAGAATAGAATTATAGAATAGAATTACAGAATAGAATAGAATAGAATAGAATAGAATAGAATAGAATAGAATAGAATAGAATAGAGCTGGAACTCAGATCCTCTATGTTTCTAACATTTAAAAAACGAGAGGCATTTGAGCCTCTGCAGTCTTCTGAGTTTCTCTTCCCCGTAGAGGCCTGAAGCCCTTCCTTAATCCTGGGATATTTTTAATTTCCCCCATTTTTACCTTCCCAAAGATTTCCACTTTTGCTCCGTACTGCTCGAGCCTCTTTATCGTTGACTCCGTGGTACTTCGGGGCACGACGATCGTGGCGGGCACCCCCAGTTCCCTGGCTGCGTAGGCTGCAGCCAGACCAGCATTTCCACCTGCAAGGATTTGGAGGAGGAGGAAGAGGAGGAGGAGGAGGAGGAGGAGGAGGAGAGAGAAAATTGCTTTCTATGGGACTCTCAGAGGGGCTTTATCAAGAGGCGAGGGGGCTTCCCTTGTTTTTTCCTGAAGGCGTTTCGCTTCTCATTCAGGAAGCTTCTCCCGTTCTGATGGAATGGTGGGGAGGCGGGGGGGGGGGGGAATGGAAGGATCTACAGCTGGTCCTTGACTTACAACCGTTTGTTTAGTGACCGTTCGACCATCATCAAGCCCGACATTTCTGTTGCTTTTGTGAAGCGAATTGCCCCGTTTTACGACCTTCCCTGCCCCCGTTGTTAAATGAATCATTGAAGTTGTTCAGTTGGTAACACGGTTGTTAAGTGAATCCCGCTTCCCTTGTCAGAAGGTCGCAAAAGGGGGGTCAGGTGACCCGGGACGCTGCGACCGTCATAAATATGAGTCGTTGCCGAGCATCTCAATTTTGACCCTGTGCTACAACGGCCGTAGGTGTGAAAAACGGCCGTAAGTCTTTTTTTTTCAGTGCCGTTGTAACTTTGAACGGTCACTAAGTGAATGGTCGTAACGTGAGGACCACCTGTATGCCCAAGACGGGCAATATCTTTCAGGTTTGCAAGAAATGGGCGTATTTCGCAATAATATTTGGAGCAACGCCTGCCCTTGTGTACACGCCGGAAGGCTTAAGATAGGGAAGCAACCAGCAGCTCCTCCATCCAGGGGTTTCTGTTCCAGATGTGCAGAAAGACCAGAGAAACAGAGCAGCTGTTTACCTGAGGAGCAGACCAGGTGTTGACAGCCCTCCTTAGACATCTGAAATAAAAAGCAGATTTGTGTGTGTGTGTGTGTTTGTTTGTTTCTCTCTCATTTCCACTCATCCTTGAAAAACCCAAGAAGAGGTTTATGAAGAGGTGCAGAGCAAAACAGGCGCGAACGAAAACCAGAAGCGGCTTCCCTTCCCTGCTGGGGTTCTTCCAGAGGTCCCACCTGCATCTCACCTGTTTCCAGCGTGCAGGTGAGCATCTCCCACTTCCTCTCGCCTCCCGCCCCTCTGTTGGGAAAAAAAAAGACACCCCCCCCAAAACCAGCGATTCGGAGACCAGTCGGAAGCGCCTCAGGGCGTCCCCGCAACCCGTTGGCAAATGCAGGAAGTCCTTGACGTACGGCGACAATTGACCCCCCAAATTTATGTTGATAAGTGAGACTTCTGTTAAGGCGACTTTTGCCCCGTTTTACAAACATTCTTGCTGCAGTTGATAAGTTAATCATTGCTAGTAACATGATAGTTTGGGGAATCTGCCTTTCCCGTGGACTTGGTTTGTCAGAAGGTCGCAAAATGGGATCACGTGACACACACACACACACACACACCCCGGAGACAGTGCGACCGTCCTAAATGCGAGTCAGTTCCCAAGCGTCCGGATTTTGATCACGGGACCTCGGGACTGCGGCAACGGTCCTAAGTGTGAAAAAACGGTCACTAAACGAACTGTTGTAAGTCGAGGACTTCTTGTATGCAAATCTCCCCGGTCACATATGGTTGTGAGAAGTGCCCGGGACATTCCCTGTTGTCCATAAAGCTTACCTGTCCTGCCTCAGCCACTCACCTGTTGGCAAAAGTAGCCAATACCTCGGATTTTAAAGGAACTGCTTGGCTGGACATTCTCTAGCTTCATGTAGACTTTGGTTCCAGCGGCTTGGGAAAGAGCCACACTTTCCAACAACGGCGTCTCGGTGTGAAAGGGCCTTTCGACACCCCCATCAGGCAGGATCTCCATTGGGGGGGGAACACGGGGGCCGGAAACTCCCTAAGATATATTAACTATATGAAAAAAAAAAGTCTGGTAGATCAGGCCCAGGGGTTCCTCAAAAGCTCTGCATTCTTTCTGATTAAGGCTTAACGAACGATTAATTGATCTGGCTCCCCTTTTCTATCATCTCCTTCTAAGTTTTGTGTACAATAATAATATATATTGTGTACAGCGTATCGTACGGTGGCGTCTAATGTTTTGTTCCTTTGCTATTGTTATATTTACGTTTTCATTTTTTCCCCCTCCCATTTGATTGTTGTAAGCCACCCAAAGTGGTCCAACAGCGAGATCGGCAGCAAATAAATTTAGCAAATAAATTAGAAAGAAAGAGAGAGAGAGAGAGAGAGAGAGAGAGAGAGAGAGAGAGAGAGAGAGAGAGGAAAAGAAAGACAGAGAAGAAAGAAGGAAGGAAGGAAGGAAGGAAGAGGAAGGAAGGAAGGAAAGAAAGAAAGAAAAGGAAAGAAAGAGAAGAAAGAAAGAGGAAGGAAGGAAGGGAAAGACAGACAGACAGACAGAGAAGAAAGAAAGGAAGAGGAAGGAAGGAAAGGAAAGAGAAAGAAAAAAAAGAAAGAAAAGAAAAAGAAAGAAAGAAAGAAAAAGAAAGAAAGAAAGAAGGAAAGAAAGAAAGAAAGAAAAAGAAAGAAAGAAAGAAAGAAAAAGAAAGAAAGAAAAGATCAAACTCCAGCCCAGGAGAGTTGGTTTTTCCCCAAACCCCAAACCTTCCCATCATCCACCACCAGACCCTCGCTGGGTTTCAGAACTCCTCAAGAAACCTTACCTCATTCCTCAAGACGAGTTGTTTGTCTCTCCTCCTCCGAAGACTCTGTCCTCTGAGCAAAGTTTAGAAATGGAGGAGGGAGGCGGAAAAATGCCAAGGATGACGCTGGAGGCTGCTGCTGTGTGTGTGGGGTGTGTGTGTGTGCTGTTGTGTGTGAAAGAGAGGATGAGATTGTGAAAGGCCGTTGACTTAGCAATCCCTCGGAGACCTGGAACTCTTTAATCTTCAGTTGATATGACATGTTGCCTTCTCAAGGATTTGCAGGGAAAGTTAAGGGGGGTTGGGGGGGAAGAGTTATTTTGCATGCTTTTTTATTTTCTCTCTTCAGTAATTATTTTTTCAAAAAGAAAAGAGGGCGAGGGTGACTGAAGAGTAGGATGAACCAAGAACTGGGTATGTCTAGTCTTAGGAAGAGAAGGACTAGGGGAGATGTGATAGCAGTCTTCCAATGCTTTGAGCAGGGGGCTGGACTAGAAGACCTCCAGGGTCCCTTCCAGCTTCTATTCTATTCTATTCTATTCTATTCTATTCTATTCTATTATTAATTCTAAATTCTGTTCTAGTTCTATTCTATTCTATTATTCAATTCTTATTCTATTCTATTCTATTATTAATTCTAAATTCTGTTCTATTCTACTCTACTCTACTCTACTCTACTCTACTCTTATTATTATTTGAGGGGCTGTCTCCAAAGCACCCGAAGGACTTTGTAAGTTTTCTTATCTCTCCACCACTTGCCTGTTGCTCTGTTGTTGTAGCATCTGTTGTGGATGTCACAATTGTTGGAACTTGACCCTTCACCCATTCCTACCCAGAGGGAGAAAAATTCTGGAATTCCTTTGCAATTCTGAGAATTGGACATGAAGAGGATGGTCTTCGGTGTTTCTGGGGCTGTGTCAACCATGTTTTTGGAGGTTCTTTAGGCACCTGTGAAGATCTCCCCCGCTCACTTAGATCTCTGTTGGGGCACAGTCCCTCCTATATAACCCGACCTAATGTGATTGGCTAAAGGGTGGGTAATTCAAACTAACGTGATTGGTCCTCTACTTCCTCTATCAAGTGCAGGAAAAATCGGGAAGTCCGTTTAAACTGAATTCAAAGGTTTAGTGCAAGCTCTTGCTCTCTACAAGAATCTGAGCTACTAAAGGTTAAAGCAAATTAGTGGTAGATGAGAGTGGACTTAGATCTCTTGTGGGCGTGCAGGGACTTGAGACTGATGACACATTTGACGCCTCCCTCGGGCCCAGCCTGGTCATCTCCAAAATCAGGTTTATTTCATGCTAACCAGAATCTGAACTACTAACAGTCAAAGCAAATTGGCGGTAGATAAGAGTCAACAGAATTCAAGGAGGACTGGACTCAGATCTCTTGTGAGCACACGGGGATTCAAGACTAATGACACGTTTGACACCCCCCCTCCCTCAGGCTCAGCTTAGTCATCCTCTCCTGATCATTTTTTTTCTCCCAATCAAGTTTAAAAGTAGCAGTCCAAACTACCCGGAATTACAGATAGTCCTCAACTTACAACTGTCCGTTTAGTGACTATTCAAAGTTAGAGCAGCGTTGGGGGAAAAAAAGTGACTTACGATCAGTCCTTGCCCTTAAGGCTGGTGCAGCACACCCACTGTCACACCATCAAAATTCAGACAATTTTCAACTGGCACGTATTTACCAAGCATCCCGGGGTCACGTGACCACCCCCCCTCCCATTTGCAACCTTCCCAGCTGGCTTCCCACAAGGAAAATCCACGGGGGGGGGGAGGAAGCTGGATTCTCTTAGCGACCATGGGATTCCCTTAGCCACTGCTGCGACTTGCTGAACAATTTTGTTGAAAAGGTCGTAAAATGAGGCCTGACTCACGTCGACAACCACCTAAGGTTAGCGACGGAAATTCTGGTCCCCGTTGGAAGGAGTTCCAATTCACAAAGCAAGCCTTATGACCACTGCACACACACACACAAACACAGACAAACACACACATACTTGAGCAGAGGGCTGGACTAGAAGACCTCCAAGGTCCCTTCCAGCTCTATTCCGATCGATTTGTTGTTGTTGTCCATCTCTTCTCTAACGGCATCTGATCAGAACCGGCTGGCCATTTTTCAGAAAGTTGATGAGCCTGCCTATTCAGGAGCACTTGCTCTGATCAACAAGATCCAGAAAAGCAGAGCCTGGTTCTGTTGTAAAAGCTCTCCAGAAAGATGCACAAGCCGTGATGTTGTGATCCTTTGGTACAACTTTCCTCTTTCTTTTCCCTCGTGTGCAGTTGTTCTTTTTTCAAAAGTTGATGGCGGAGAAACTTTTAAATGAAACGAAGGAGGCAGAGGGGGGAGACCTGGGAAAGGGTGGGTGGGTGGGTGGATACAAGGGGGGGGTCCACGAAGCTGACAGCTGTGAATAGAGTTCGCTTTGCCTGTTGATTTACTTGGATTGGATGGGGGGGGGAGGTTTTCCCGATCTCGCTCTCCAGTCCGGATCCAGCCACCCGACCTGGTTTGAGCCGGTTTTGGTCAGAGTGAAGGGTCCTTTTGTCTTTTCAGCCCCCTCCCCTCCCCTGCCTGCCTGTCTGCCCCCCCCTTCTCCCCCTCCACAAACCAACCAGCCAACGAGGCCGTCTCCCCTTTTGGAATTGAAATGACAGAAATGGGCTGTAACCCCTCCCTTAACCCCCCCAACCCTCATCCTTTCTGCTCCTTTTTTTTTTCTCTCTCTCCAGCTGGAATTTTGGGTTTGGAACGGAGAAAGGAGGGATGTCATCGGAGATCAGGGGGGCAGTCTTGGGGGGTGCCTGGTTGCCTCCCCTCATTGGCCCCCAAGCCAAGACCAGCAGCTTATAAAGTGGGAGAGAAGGACCCTATGTTGTCCAGGGACCGCCGGGAAGTTCAAGATCAAAGCTGCCTGTGAGAAGAAGACACCCCCCCTAAAAGTAACAGTATTGGCCTCCATCCCTTGAAAATCACCAAGACCATCTCAGCACCCGTCGCTTTTGGCAACCCATTTTCCACAGCCTTCCCTGGGCCTCTCTGGGGTAAGTGTGTCTTTTGTTTCCCAGCTGGTTTTTTTCTGAGTCACTTAAGTAACTCAGAAGGAGCCCCCCCCCCCACGTTCCACCTCTGGATTAGCAGCAGAGGAGAAGGCTTGGGGTGTCAGATAATCGAGAGGCTGGGTTTTATCGCTAAGGAATTGGCTGGAGGGATGATTTTATTTCAGCAGGGTGATGTCTGGGAACAGATGAGGTTGCCTGGTGTCTGATTCAGGGGGAAAAGTAAGAAAGGGTTTTAAATAAGAGGCCTAAAGCATTTGTCTTCTTCTTCTCTCTCCTTGTTCGTGTAATTCCTTGATTAAAGGGCAAAAGAGAATTGAATAGGTAGTTAGGTAGATAGGTAGGGACAGACAGACAGACAGACAGACAGACAGAGATAGATAGATTAGATAGATAGATAGATAGATAGATAGATAGATAGATAGATAGATAGATAGATAGATAGATAGATAGATAGATAGATAGACAGACAGACAGACAGACAGACAGACAAGCAGATGGGGGATACATGATAGAGAGAAAGGCAGATGGGGGATAGATAGATAGATAGATAGATAGATAGATAGATAGATAGATAGATAGATAGATAGATAGATAGATAGATAGATAGATAGATAGATAGATAGATAGATGATGGATAGATGGATGATGGATAGATAGGTAGAAAGATGATGAAAGATAGATACATAGACAGACAGACAGACAGACTCTTTGGATTCTTACAGTGCTTAGAGAGAAAATAGCTCCAACATTGGATAAAGGCACTGCGCCATCCCTGATAAGATAGCCAGACAGAAGCGGGGAAACTGACATGCAGGGGACAGCTGAAATTGCTCGGATTAACTTTTGAAGGAAAAAGAGCTTTAAAAGTCCCACGGATTCCCTCCATGGCAGAAACGATGCGCCTTCACCACGGCTTACTCCCTCCTGAACAGCTGAAGGGTTGAATTTCAGCCAGAAGCGTCCATTTATATAAGCACTCCTCCAGCTATTTGGGAGGCCTGAGGTGCCATCTGCTTTGACATAGGAAAGGCCTTTTACACATCTGGGCTGCAAAGATCCAGATAGCCAAAATCTGTGTGTGTGTGTGTGTGTGTGTGTGTGTGTGTGTGTGTGTGAGAGAGAGAGAGAGAGAGAGAGAGAGAGAGAGAGAGAGAGAGAGAGAGAGAATGTAGATTAAAAAAGTATGCAATTGTTCTTGATTTCAGTCATGCTGGATCTCACCATCTTTCATTTCTCAGTCTTCTAGAATGACTCCTTCTGATCACCTCCATGTCAACACACCCCTGAGAGAAAGCGTCCCTCTCTCTAAATTGGCTGGCACGAAGGTCTACCTCAAACTGGAGTGTGCCCAACCCACAGCTTCTTTTAAGATACGGGGCATTGGGAATTTCTGCAAAACGGTACGGATTGGAGAGAGTTTTCCAGTGGGACACGAAGCGGGTGGTCAAATTCACCTTGAAGCCAAGCCTGTGCCTGGGAAGAACCAAGCTCGGCCAATTAGTTGATATTTTAATTTAATTTTATTTTTTTTTTAAAAAGAGAATTATGGAATCCTTGAGTCAGAAGGTAGAATACAGACCATCTCGTTAATCCAGCTTCTGCTCAGTCCAGGATCTGCTAGAACATCTCTGATAGACGATCATCCATCCTTTGTTTGAAGGCCTCTAATGCTTACGTGGGGATAATGAAATAGCCAGTGTTGTAGATGTTAGATGCCTAAGGAAAAATCCTTCTAGTTTTTTTAGGCAGGTAGTTTTTGATGTCTTCAGTGGGTTGAAATTCTCTTCTGGAGTCAAGAACGTCGCCTTCTCACGTTTCTGCTTTTGCTTCCACAGTGGGTGGAACGAGGATGCAAGCATTTCATCACTTCCTCAGGTAAATGGATGCCCGTGGCAGCCTTCCAAGAGATAGGAGTGTTGGGTCAGCGTATGTGTGAGAAACGGACGGGGGCAACCAAAGATGAAAGCTATTAGTTGATCCCAGCCTATTGGGTGATGTATCGTAACGATAACATGACTGAGCTATGAATGTGAAGGTTTATATTATATCTCCATTCTCAACAACTTTCCATAAGTCATGATGAAAAGTATGGAAGGCAACCACCATCATAACATAGGAAATGAGTCCTTAGGGTTGCTACCTGCTAAGGGGAGGGCGGTTAAAGAAGTTGAGCTAGTCATTGGTTCAAGACCTTAGCGCCACACGATGGGGTGAGCTCCTATCACTAGCTCCAGCTCCCGGCCACCTATCAGTTCGAAAGCATGCAAAATCCGAGTAGATAAATAGGTACCACTTTGCTGGGAAGATAACACCTTGGTGTGTAGTCAGGCTGGCCACATGGCCACAGAAACATTTGCAGATGATGCTGGCTTCCTAGGCTAAGAAACGGAGAGTCGGACAAGGTCGCTTCCAACCCTGTTATTCTATGTTCTGTGTCATGTCAAACCACCTTCCCTTTCAGCTGGAAATGCTGGCCTTGCGGTTGCGTACTCTGCCCGAATGTTGGGGATCCCAGCCACCATTTATGTCCCTTCCTGTACCCCGGCTTTCACCATCGAGCGACTGAAGGAAGAAGGCAGCTCTGTGTACGTTGAAGGAGAGGTAGGTTTGGAGAGAGTGGACTGAGGAACAACGTCCAAAGGTCTGATGTTACAGTTGGAACCAGACTTTTCTTTCCAAGCAAGGCAACCATTGAGTCAGTCACGTCTCACTTAATGGCCTAGTTGGCCATGGCTGTTGACCAAATCACTGCAGTTGTTAGGTGAATGATACAGTCATTAAGCGAATCCGGCTTCCCCCCCCCCCCGATTTTGCTTGTCAGTAGCCAGCAGGGAAGGTCACAAGGGGTGATCACATGACCCTGAGACAGTGCAACCGACAGAAGTACATGCCTGTTGCCAAGTGCCCAAATTCTGATCATGTGACCGTGGGGATGCTGTGACGGTTGTAAGTGAGAGGGCTGGTTGTAGGTCATTTGTTTCAGTGCTGTTGTGTCTTTGAATGGTCACTAAATTGGTAGCTGTAAGCTGAAGGCTGTCTGTGGTTGTGGTTCTTCTCGGTGTCTTGATCTAACAACGGGACTTCACCTCCCCAGATATTAGCAGACAGCACAAAAGCAGCTAAAGAGCTGGTGAAGAACAATCCCGAGTGGGTCTATGTGCCTCCATTTGATGACCCCCTGATTTGGTAAGTGCTCCTAAGAGAGGTCTCTAAAGAAATACAGATCCTCCTCCTCCTCCTCCTCCTCCTTCTCTTCCTCTCCTTTCTTCTCCTCCTCTCCCTCCTCTTCTTCATCCCTTCTCCCCCACCTTCTCCATTAAATCTACATGATTCAGGATGGGTCAGATACGTGAAGAACTGGGGGTCCTCTAGCTACTGAGTAACTACAGGTCCCAGAATTCCTTGCTTTTGACCCCTGGTTGCAAGAGATTATTCTTCCTCCTCCTCCTCCTCCTCTCCTCCCCCTCCCCCTCCCCCTCCTCCTCCTCCTCCGTTAAATTTATAGCTTCATTTTTCCTATAAGAGCTCAAGATTGCCTTCCATCCTTTAATTTTGTCCACACACCCCTGCATTTGATCTTGGCTGACAAGACCCAGAAGAAATTCCTCACCCAGTTATCTCGCTTGGCTTCAGGGGAGGCCTTTATTCCTTTACCTCCCACTGCATAAAGAACGGATTAATTATATTATAGCCAAAAGGTAAAAAAAGGTTATGGCCTTTATGAAAAGATCTGCAAGCCACAGGCATCCGTGGCAAATTAATAGGAACGACATAGAACAAGCTCTATTTTTTTTTAATATATCTAGGAATTGTTTTTCATACCTGTAGCACATGGAAAGTCCAACTAAGACCTATTCCAAAGACTGCCCAAAGGAACACACAGGGCCATTCTTACTTTCTTTTATGCCGAGATGGAAATTACATCCTCAAAGCAATGAAAGGGTTTGGAGGCCAAGGTGATAAATCATTTTTTTGTGTGAAGCCCAGATCTGTCCATAGAACGACTGTAGATGCCATTGGAGGACATTTCTCAGAACCAATTTAGGGTCCCTGGCTATATATCAAATGTCTTTCCCCATTTGGTTTCCAGGTGGTTCTGAGTCAAGGTCCAAAATACACCTCTGCCATTTTGTTGACTTCGCTGAGTTTGATCCGCTGAGTTTCAAGGAAAGTTGTGCTACACAAGGCAGTCCTTGACGTGCGAGCACAACTGGGACCTGCGAATCACTGCAATTGTTAAGGGGGGTGTTGAGGATGCTTCAATAGCCGTAAGGACGGGGACCAATTGTACGTCACTTTTTTTTCAAGGAGTGTTGTAGCACCAAACCATCACTATTTATTTTAGGATTCTCCTTCTCCCTCCAAGCTTTCAGACCTTGACAGGACGTAGAACTAGATGAGCAGCATCTATTTTATGATAACGTTACAGTAGCAGGACCTTGCAAGTCTGACGGTACAAATTGGACGGCTTGATCAATCAGGACGGATCCTTCTTAAAATTTCTTCCTCTGATTGTTAAGCCACTCTTATCTAATTGTTTCCTAGGCAGCCTCTCTTCACCTGGTTCCCCAAGGTCATCTGCACATTCCATTCCACCAGACAAGCAGAGTTTCTGGGTTAGCATCCTGGTGCCCCATCAGGACCTGGATAGAGCATCCTTCAGGTCTCCGAGGAGAGTCCAGACAGAAATATTCACCCACATCGGTCTCATTTTCTCCCCAAGTGCCTCTCTCCTCTCCTGCCTTCTCAATTCTTTGCTAAGGCCGTTGGGCTCACCCCCTGCTTCTCTCCCTTCCAGGGAAGGCCACATGTCTCTGGTCAGGGAGATGAAAGAGCAGATGGCCTCCAGGCCTGGCGCCATAGCCCTCTCTGTGGGAGGAGGGGGCATGCTATGCGGAGTGATCCAAGGCCTGCGAGAAGTGGGCTGGGATGATGTGCCGGTGGTTGCCTTGGAAACCAAAGGAGCTCATAGCCTGAATGCTGCCTTGGCCGCTGGGAAGCTGGTGACACTTGCTCAAATTACCAGGTGAGCTTGAGATGGTCCATTGCTATCAGAATGAGCAGCCCAGGCTGAGAAGAACCAGGGCTGTTTCGGGCAGTTTCTTAATGGCTGCCTTCATACAACCAACTGTACGGTCGTTGACTTGAGACCCTTTCCTTGTCCGCACGGGATGTTGTGCAGGCCACAACCAAACAAATCACAATTGGGTTGAGTAACAAGGGTGAACCCCCTTTGAATCTGAAAAATAGGGCCTCTATCTTAAAGGGTTGTAGAAGAAGTTCATTGGGGTTTATTCAATAGTACAGGTTAAACAAACAAGGGTTTGGTGCAAGGAACCAGGGCACGACAACACTTATCTTCCTTTCCGGATTCAGCGTCGCTACAACTCTGGGGGTGAGCGTCGTGGCAGCGGAGACTCTGAAGCTGGCTCAGGAGCACCCCACTTTGTCGGTGGTGGTCACGGATCAAGAGGCAGTGGAAGCGGTTGAAAAGTTTGTGGGTATGCTCCTGGCACACTCGACCTATCTTGTCCCTCTCTGTGTCACTATTTCTATCTCTTATTTCCACCTTAATTTAAAGCTTAACTACTTCTTCTACTTCCATCTGCAGCTCTTCATTGTCTTTATTTCTATCTTCACCTCCATGTCCACCTCCTCTCTTTAACTTATCTTTACCTGCCTCTCCATCTCCATCTTCCTCTCCACCTCCACCTTCCTCTCCACCTCCACCTTCCTCTCTATCTCCACCTCCATCTTTCTCTCCACCTCCATCTCCACCTTCACCTCCTATTTTTACCTTCATCGTTGTTATCCATCTCTATCTCCACCTCCACCTCCACCTATCTTTACCTTTACAGTCATTTGTCCTGAATGGTGTAGGGTCGGACTAGAAGACCTCCAAGGTCCCTTCCAACTTTGTTATTCTGTATTTTGAATTGTACATCAAAACATGGCAGGTTTTCTCTCGCAAAAGTACTTTCCTTCAAAAAGTGAACATTTGAACATTCCTTTCCAGCATAGATACATTATCTTATTTCTTGGTAACCTTTTCAGCTTTAATCTTATTGTCACTTGCTCTCCAAGCTTTTAGTTAGATAACCCTACTAGAGCTGAGCTGAAAAAGACCACTAGGGGGCAGCAAAGAGTAGAATAAACATATTCTTCTTGGCCATCTAGTGGCCAGCCAATGTAACGGTCCGAGATTTACAATGATGCTCAAACCACGGACACCAATTTCATCTCCTCCTCGCGCATTCAGTGGGTTAAGACCCCATTTTCCCACCACTCACAGATGATGAGAAGATCCTGGTAGAGCCTGCTTGTGGGGCTGCCTTGGCCATTGTCTACAGCGGGATGGTCCAAAAGCTACAAGCAGAAGGCAAGCTGATGCCCCAGCTGGACTCTCTTGTGGTGATCGTGTGTGGAGGAAACAATATCACACTGGCCCAGTTAAAGCATCTCAAGGCACAACTCGGCCTCTCGAAAGATGAGGAGCAGTGGGATGATGACGTAGAGGAGAGCCACATTGCGATGGCCATGTGTTCTTCACGAAACAAAGCTTTCCGGGCTTCGTTGCAGAACCACCGACCACCCTGCGCTTATTAAAACTCCGTTGCCTCATGCTGTCTTCCTTCCTTCCTTCTTTCCTTCCTTGGCTTCTAACTTACACAAAGGTGTGCAACAGGAACATGCTGGTGGGAATGGTGGTCTGGGTCTTCTCCTTTAAAAACTTGGTTGGATCACCAATCAAGAGGAGGCCAGTGCTCGGTCACTGTCAGAAGGTGCTTGGTCTTCCAACCATCTAGTAGAGTTGAAGCCCAGTTGCCCAGTGCGGTGGCTACGGAGCATGTTCTCCTGGCTTTGGAGACCATCCCTCAAGGCTGACTACTGGTTCCTCCTGGACAAGGAAGGAGATCAAAGAGTTTCCTGTTCCAGTGGGATCCTACCTCTAGCAATTTCCTCTTAGGCTAGAGAACCTCTTCAGATCCAGTTTGGACAATCAGAAAGGTTCCAGAGTGATGGAAATACAGGTAGTCCTCAACTTATGACTGACCATTTGAAGTTACAATGGACTTCCCTGGGGTATTTAAGACCCAGATTTGAAGTTTGGATGGCCATCCTCCCTTAAGTAAGATGACTTCATGTTGGGTGTTCAACAGCACCTGGTCCATATTTATGGCCATTTGTAACATCTCACTGTCACGTGACCACATTTCACAACGCTTTGGATGAAAACCGGGCAGTTCCTTCCGGTTTTCAGCCCAACGGGCCCCTAGCCAACTATTGGTTCAGTTAACGACTGCAGTGTCCATTTAATGACCACCGCAAAAAAGATCATACAGTCAGACCAGTCATATGTCTGGTGTCCTGATCTACGACGGTCGTGGCTTACAGTCATAATGGACATGTTCCATTATGGTCATAACTTGAGGACTCCCTGTATGTGTACAAGGGAACCCGTTCTCCTATGGCCTGAGGCTTCTGCCTTCAGTCCTGAGGGCAAATAACTTGTCTTTGAAAAATCCGTTTCTCTTTCTGGAGAAGGTCCCATCGGCCAAAGGTGATGATTGAAAAAGACCATCCGTATCCAGCTTTAGTCATTCATATTTTGCTTCAATAGCCAAGAGTCTCCCACCTTTCCTTCCTTCCATGTATCTGCCATTCTTTTTCCCTACACAGTACAATAGTCTGCCTCCCCCCCACCCACCCAAAGCTGCTCCTGGTACGAACAATTTAAAAAAAAAATCCTGATCATTAAAAAAAACAACTGGCAATGTCTTCTTTCTCTTTTTTTTCCTGTCACTCTTTCAAAAGCCATACAAATAAACGCATGAATAAATGAATAAGAATACATAAGTGAACGAATGAATGAAAAAGCCTGGGCGTTGTTCATTTAAGTCCTGTTTTATAGATATATACAGTAGATCCTAAAGAGAGTCAAGCTAAGTCTGTGTGCTGAGGCTTATACACACACACACACAGAGACAGAGAGAAAGAGAGAAAGAAAAAGAGAAGGAAAAGGAGAAAGAGGAAGAGAAAGAAAGAAAGAGAGGATGAGAGAGAGGAAGAGAAAGAAAAAGAAGGAAAAGGAGAAAGGAAGAGAGAGAAAAAGACAGAACGGGAGAGAAAAAGAGAGGAAGAGGAAGAAACAGAAACAAAAATAAAAAGAGAGAAAGAGAGAGACAGAGAAAGAGAGAAAAAAGAGAGAGGAAAAAAGAGAGAGAGCCATGAGTACAATGGGGTCCAACGTGCGTGGGGGGGGTCTTATTTCAAAAGAACACTGGGGAAAGACAGCCCTAGATACGGCCTCAAACCTGGATAGTTTTCAAGAACACATCCAAGCAATTCCAGCCAGAAACAAGCGCATTCACAAGCAGATGGGAGCCCTATTAGAGGAACTGCCTCGGGAGAGGTGGGGAGAAAAAAAAAAATCAAATAAAAGGCTGTCTATTTGCTAAGCTACAATGGAGATCGTCCTTGAATCCCTCTCCTCGTTCATCAGCGGGGAGAGAGTCTCCCTTTGTCAGGGGACTTAACTATCTTGGAGTGCTTTGGCCTTAACGCTGGCGGTGTGAAAATTGCAACTCCCAGGGAGCCGTGCCAGGCATCACACAAGAACAAGCTGTACGGGTGGGCTCCGGTGAAAACACCACGGATGGGGAACAATTGGAAGTGGGGGGAAAGTAGGGTTTCCTCCAGAAAGCGCAACAGGGATTGGAAGACCAAGCTGTGAAGGTTCGGGATGGGTGGGATGGGGGCCCTCTGGAGCAGAAAGAAAAGCTTTTGTGTCAAGGCTGCCTTCGGGTTGGCTGCCTTTGTATGCTCTTTTGATGGCTTTTTAGAAGTAGGTCAGCGTTGTCTTCCAGGATGAGGTGGGAAAAAAAAGTGCAGAGAAGAGCAACTAAGGTGATTCAAGGCCTGGAGGCTAAAAACGCACGAAGAACGGTTGGCCGGAATTGAGTATGGCCAAGTCTAGAGAAAAGAAGGACTAGGGGGGAGATGATAGCAGTGTTACAGTATTTGAGGGGCTGCCACAAAGAAGAGGAGGGGGGGTCAAGGAGACATCCAACCTAGAACTAAGGAGAAACTTCCTGAAAGTACGAACGATTAACCAGTGGAACAGCTTGCCGCCAGAAATGGTGGGTGCTTCATTGCTGAAGGTTTTTAAGAAGAGACTGGACAGCCATTTGTCTGGGATGATATGGGGCCTCCTGCTTGAGCAGGGGGCTGGACTAGAAGACCTCTAAGGTCCCTTCCAATTCTATTCTATTCTATTCTATTCTATTCTATTCTATTCTATTCTAGTCTAGTCTAGTCTAGTCTAGTCTAGTCTAGTCTAGTCTAGTCTAGTAATGGAAGAATGCAAATGACCAGCTGTCTGCAAGGAATATAAACCCTCCCATTCCCCACCCTCCAGTCAGAGCTGAAGAAGCTTCTTGGATGAGAAGCAAAACGCCTTCAAAGGAAAAACAAGAAAGTCCAGTTGCCTCCTGAAAAAAGCTCCTTTGGGACTTGTTCCTCTTGTGGAAGAATCTTTCCTTCAACTCGCAAATCTGTTCTTCAGGATTTTCTGCATGCTAGCACTTCCAAGCTTTCCCCCCCCCCCCAGCCAGATGGGTTAGGAACTTAAAATATGTTTAAATGCAAACAATATGCGTTTCCTGCAGGAAGTGAAGTTCCTCCCATATCCCACTGCCCTACAGGATTGCAGCATCCGCATACCCCCTGTTCTATTTCTTCATTATGGACTGCTCAAGCTGCTGAGAACGAAAGGAAGAAGGCCTTCCCCTCGCTTTCCAGAAAGCCAGCCCCTGGGTGGAATCTGCACCCCAAAAGCTCCAGGTGGGTAGCCAGAATTAGGCCTACAATCCCAAGCCTGGAGACCTCAACCCCAGCGAACGCGGATGGGCGAGAATTTCCAAAGATCCGGGTGCCCCATGTGAGATATATTGCAATATGGAGAAGAGCTCCACTGGAAGGGAGGGAGGTCATCCCAAGTAGGACCGCTGGCGGCCAGGAAGCTGTAATTCTTCATCATGGCGAAAGAAGTCACCTACAAAAGAGAAAAGCAGGGCTTGGTTTAGGGAGAAACTGCTCTGGTTTTAGCACGCTATGAGCTAGAAGCATCCGAGGCCAAGCTAAATAAATAAATTAAAAAACACACACACACAAAACCGCTAGGGAAGCCAAGTTCTCCCTCCTATCAGCTACCGCCCCTCACCTTCACATCGGTGGCCCCGTGGCGCCGCTGGTGGAGGGCCCCGAAAGGGTAGGTGCCGTTCGCAGGGTTGAGATCGGAGCGGGCAGCAATGGCGTTTTCTCCGTTCTGGGGTGGGCTGCAGCCTTGGCACCGGGAGAGAGGATCGTGAGGGAAGTTGTTGAACCTGGGCAGGAGAGGAAGAGCACAGCACGTGTGACCCGGGCTCTAATTGGTCTGTCTGTCTATCCATCCATTCTATCATCTATCTATCTATCTATCTATCTATCTATCTATCTATCTATATCTATCCATCCATCTACCTACCTATCCACCCATTATCTATCTATCTATCTATCTATCTATCTATCTATCTATCTATCTATCTATCTATCTATCTATCCATCTACCTACCTACCTATCCACCCATTATCTATCTATCTATCTATCTATCTATCTATCTATCTATCTATCTATCTATCTATCTATATCTATCTATCTATCTATCTATCTATCTATCTATCTATCTATCTATCTATCTATCTATCTATCTATCTATATCTATCCATCCATCTACCTACCTATCCACCCATTATCTATCTATCTATCTATCTATCTATCTATCTATCTATCTATCTATCTATCTATCTATCTATATCTATCCATCCATCTACCTACCTATCCACCCATTATCTATCTATCTATCTATCTATCTATCTATCCATCTACCTACCTACCTATCCACCCATTATCTATCTATCTATCTATCTATCTATCTATCTATCTATCTATCTATCTATCTATCTATCTATCTACCTACCTATCCATCCATTCTATATCTATCTACCTTCCTACCTATCTACCTACCTACCTAGCTACCTAGCTAGCTACCTATCCATCCATTCTATATCTATCTACCTTCCTACCTAGCTACCTATCCACCCATTATCTATCTATCTATCTATCTATCTATCTATCTATCTATCTATCTATCTATCTATCTATCTATCTATCTATCTATCTATCTATCTATCTATCTATCTATCTATCTATCTACCTACCTACCTATCCATCCGTTCTATATCTGTGTCTATCTATCTATCTATCTATCTATCTATCTATCTATCTATCTATCTATCTATCTATCTATCTATCTATCTACCTACCTACCTACCTACCGACCTACCTACCCATCCTCTATCTATCTACCTACCTACCTACCTATCCATTCTCTATCTATCTATCTATCTATCTATCTATCTATCTATCTATCTATCTATCTATCTATCTACCTATCTATCTATCTACCTACCTACCTACCTACCCACCCATCCACCTACCTACCTATCTACTTATCTATTTATCCATCCATCTTTCCATCCATCCATTCATCCGTCCATCCATCATCATCATCTCTCTCTCTCTCTCTCCCTCCCTCCCTCCTTCCATCCATCAGAACACCTACTGGCTGGAGAATTCTGGGAGTTGAAGTCAACACCTCTTAAAGTTGCCAACTTTGAGGAAGGCTACTCTAGACGATCTTCAAGGTCTCTTCTAATTCTTATATCCTATGATTCTATGAACTCCTCAAGGCAACATTTATCCTCGGTTTTACCACTTTACTTATATGTAAGTGTTTACTTGTCATATGTGCTTCCCATCCCCCAGAACCCACATACAAACAAATATTACCCAAAGGTCATTCCTTAGGCAGACCTCTGGGCAGTACAAACAAAGGTCTAACCTCATCAGTCGGATCATTGAATCCATGTCCCGTATAAGAGTTTGGTTGCGCCGGAAAATTTGTGCTCGGGGATTCTTCTCATAGGTGAACCAGTCCCCATATTTCTGAACCAATGCCGGGAGACCACTGATGTTGAAGATATACTGGAAATACCTAAGTGAAAAGAACAATTGTTGAGGCATCTTGCTGATAAGCTGTTCCTTTGGACGCCTGTGTTCTTCAGTTCAATTCTGGGTCTCTCCAGAGCCTCCAGCATGGAAAATGCAAGCTCCACCTTCTAAGTTGCAAACCCTTATCCCTCCAAACCTCAAATGGAAGGAAGGAGGAGAAAATCCTTACGGCACATTGTAGCTTGCCCAGTAGCCTTTGTGGTACAACAGCTCGGTCTTGTCGGTAGTAATCACAATTCCCCTGGAAAGACAGAAAAAGGGAAAAGGAACTAGCGTGCATTGTACCAATTTGGGTGGGGGGGCTCCTTTTCCTGAAATTGGGGAAGAGAGCGTCTCATAACGAAGGGTGTCAAACTGGAATTGTTCACCCACTCCAAAGAGGAGCCCAAATCAGAGGAATCCTATCCAAGGGCCCCTTCTGCATTCTTACCCATGGTACCTTCCAGAATTTCTGAAAAACCCATGTCAATTAGGAGCTAAGGAAGCATAGCCTAGTGGTCCCTCACCACAGAGCTGGGCAATGCTTTCTTGCATCTGCAAAAAAACTACCAAGCTACAGAGAGCACCAAGGACCCCACAGTCCTCCTCCTCCTCCTCCTCTTCCCCCTCTTCCTCCCAACCCCCCGCTTCCTTCTAGCATTGATGATGTTACCTAACTTGTGTAATGAAACGTCTGCAAGAAAACACCAAGCTCAGAGACACCAAGGACCCCACTGTCCTCCTCCTCCTCCTCCTCCTCCTCCTCCTCCTCCTCCTCTTCTTCTTCTTCTTTCTTCTTCTTCTTCTTCTTCTTCTTCTTCTTCTTCTTCTTCTTCTTCTTCTTCTTCTTCTTCTTCTTCTTCTTCTTCTTCTTCCTCCTGCTCTTCTTCTTCTTCTTCCTCCTCCTCCTCCTCCTCCCCAAAGCCCCTCTCCCTTCTAGCACTGATGATGTCACCTAGTTTGCATAATGAAACATCTGCAAGAAAACCCCCAAGCTCAGAGAGCACCAAGGACCCCTCATTTCAAACCTGAGCTATAGATATTCTCCTTGATTAAAATAGAGCTTGCAACACTTACGGAAGCTGTTCCAGCACAGTCAGGAGGCCACGTTGGGGAGCAACCATGCCTGGCACAAAAGATTTATAATCCACAATCATCCATTGGTTATTGTACCTGTGTAAAATGAAAACAAAGGGGAGGGCGATGAGATCATCTATCTCCGGTCTACAACACACTCCTTTGAGCAGTTCCAAGAAGGCTCCACGCCCATTTGCACCACTCAGGGGACCCCGAGGACACAGATAAACCTCCAAGTGGCCTCAAGGTCTCTCTAAAAGAAGGCAAATGACCAGCTGTCTGCAAGGAGTATAAATCCTTCCCTTCCCCACCACCCAATCAGAGCTGAAGAAGCTTCTGGGATGAGAAGAGAAACGTCTTCAAAGAAAAACAAGGAAGTCCAGTGGCCTCCTTCTGAAAAAGCTCCTTTGGGATGGACAGAGAAGACACTGTAGTAAGTAGAGTAGGACTAGAAGATGGGGTGAAGCTAGAGGCACTGTTCAACCCCAAAACGTATGACCTTCACCATGCCACGGTTGTTCTTCAGCACCCCAACTCACGTGCCACTGTTGAACTTCTCAAAGATGACCGCCCATTCTTCTCCAGTCCTCGCCAGCCGATTGGCCACAATGTTGCGCAACCATTCCAACACACTGTTGTCAGCTCTGATGAACTTCCAAAGGTCACTGTTGCTGTTTCCGATGGTAGTTTCCAGACTCACCTGCAGGAGGAATACATGGTGAGCATCTCCCCTTGAATGGGAATTAAACAGTCGGGCCCATGTAGGGATTCTTCCGTTTAGATCATATGGATGTTACTTATTTATTTGTCATCCTGCCTTTATTAATTTTACAACTAACTCAAGGTGGCAAACACCACAACAGCACTGTTGGTCACCCAGCTATCTTTCATGGCTAAAGAGGGACTAGAACTCCCTGTCTCCTGGCGATTGGCCCAAAGTCACCCAGTTGGCTTTCATGCCTAAAGTGGGACTAGAACTCACAGTCTCCTGGCGATTGGCCCAAAGTCAGCCAATTGGCTTTTGTGCCTAAGGCAGGACTAGAACTCACAGTCTCCTGGTGATTGACCCAAAGTCACCCAGTCAACTTTCAAGCCAAAGACAGGATTAGAACTCACATTCTCCTGGTGACTGGCCCACAGTCACCCAGTTGGCTTTCATGGCTAAGGCAGGACTAGAACTCCCAGTCTCCTGGCGATTGGCCCCAAATCACCCAGCTGGCTTCCATGCCTAAGGCAGGACTAGAACTCACCGTCTCCTGGTTATTGGCCCAGAGACATCCAGCCAACTTACAAGGTTAAAGATGGACTAGAACTCACGCTCTCCCTCTTTCTAACCTAGTGTCTTAGCCACTAGACCAAAGTGGCTCTCTTCCTTATCTTGTCATTCTGTTCAATTATTTTTGAAAGATCCACACACGCCTCCCTGAAGATGAATTCCTCAAACTTAAGATAAAGGAATTGGGGGGGGGCTACGGTTTCCAAACTATCCATAACTTCAAGGGAACCTGGGATTTGGCCTGTATCCAAAGCGAAACTGGTTCAGCACCCTGGACAGTGCTTAAGCACTGGGCCAGGGCTGGTTCTGCTTCAGGATGACGGACAGCAACTTACCTGTACAAGGAGTCCTTGATTTATGACCACAGTCACGGGCAGAATTTCTGTTGCTAAGCAAGGCGTTGCTTAGGTGCCTTGCATCCAATTTCACAACCTTTTGCCCCAGTTGTTAAGTAAAACATGCAGTTCTGAAGCGAATCCAGTTCCCTCCGTTGGAAAGGTTACAAATAGCAATCGCGTGAGCCTGGAGCAAGGCGACCCTTGTAAATATATGCCGGTTGCCACAATACTCAAATGTTGCTCACATGACCATGGGGAGGCTGCAACGGTCGTAAAGGCGAGGACCTGGTCCTACGTCACTTTTTTCAGTGATGTTGTAAGTGACTGAATGGTTAAGTCAAGGGCCGCATGCAAATACTTGCCACAAGCAACCAACCGGTTGGGTTTCGTTGCTATATTTTGTCCAAACCAAGGCAGAGCCAAAAGAAACCGGCAACTGACCCCACTTACCAATCCGCTACTCAAGATGTAGAAATCATCGCCGGAAAAAATAGTGCCAGGATACGAAGAGAAAGCCTGGGTGTGACCGGGAATTGTGGTATCGCCTGAAGAACATAACGCAAACATCCTGTCAGCACCCACATATTCTAGCCACCTTCCCCTTCACAAAATACAGGTAGTGTTCAGTCATTGCTTAAGTAAGGTCTCCTGTTTGAGCAGGGGGTTGGACTAGAAGACCTCCAAGGCCCTTTCCAGCCCTGTTGTTATTCTTTGTTCTAAATGCTTCGCTTTTTTCAATTTTCCACACTTTTTACTCACCCCGAGGTAAAGTCCGGAATGGCAAGGTATACTTTTTAAGAATGCGCAACATGGCTTCGTAGTTATTCCAGGTGACGTGTGAGACAAGGAGATCCTGATTGCCAGGTAGAAGTTTGATCAGAGCTGAACAGGAGCCAGAACCAAGATTATCCTCCTGTTCAGGTTTATCGAAGACCGATTCCAGATCTTCCAGATCACCGCCCAGCTGGAACAAGCTAGAAGAAAGAATCACAGAATCACATGGCTGGAAGAGACCCGGAGGTCTTCTAGTCCACCCCCCTGCTCAGGCAGGAAACCCTATTTCAGACAAATGTTTGCCCAATCTCTTCTTAAAAGCCTCCAGTGGTGGAGCGCCCATAACTTCTGGAGGAATGCTGTTCCACTAGTAAATTGTTCTCGCTGTCAGGAAATTTCTCCTTAGCTCTTAGTTTACTTTGTCTCCTCCAATTAAGCAAAATATTTTTCTGCCTAGTTGTCCATTTGCAGCCTGCCCTGCTTGTTTACGCAATCCCAAATTCCTGGAAAGTGTTCAGGGCAAGGAGAAGATTGCTTCTGACCCAGAGTGTCTACTTAAGGCTCCATCCTTATCTTGGAAGCGATAAGCCTTTAGATCAACAGGAGCAACTTTTAGGTCACCTCCAAATTCAAGGGAGGCTACAATCTGCATGCAACAACAGCAACAAATTCGTCACCGCAGAACACCGAACACAGAATAACAGGGTGGAAGAGACCTTAGAGGTCTTCTAGTCACAATCCCGTGCCCATGGCTGGAGATCCTACACCAGGGGTCTTCAAACTTGGCCCTTTGATGACTGGTGGACTTCAACTCCCAGAATTCCCCAGCCAGGCATGCTTCTTCCCATTCCTCTCCCTCTGCTTTTCGAAAAGGACTTACAGAAAGCCAAAGGAGGCGATAGAGAATCTGCCGGTCGGGAAGGAAATTTGACCATTGTACCCGTCTTCAAGACCTTTCAACTGCAGCAGAACAAGGCGAACCTGGAAATTTGGATGGGCAACACAGAGACATTATTCACAGGAGACGGCCTTGAAGAAAACACGCTTCTGGAGGCAGGTGGTTCCACTGGTTAATTGTTCTAACAGTCAGGAAGTTTCTCCTTAGTTCTAGGTTGCTTCTCTCCTTGGTTTTAGTTTCCATCCATTGCTTCTTGTCCTGTCTTCAGGTGCTTTGGAGAATAGCTTGACTCCCTCTTCTTTGGGGCAGCCCCTGAGATACTGGAAAACTGCTATCATGTCCCCCCTCGTGCTTCTCTTCATTAAACTAGACATACTCAATTCCAGCAACCGTTCCTTATATGTTTTAGCCTCCAGTCCCCTGATCATCTTTGTTGCTCTTCTCTGTACTCTTTCTAGAGTCTCAAGTTGGAGTCCCTTCCACCTTTATTATTATTATTATTATTATTATTATTATTATTATTATTATTATTATTATTATTATATATACCTGATACCAATAGGCAGAGTCCATCCCTGCCTCTTCAATCTGTTTCTCCATCCAATTCAAGTTGGCTTCGAGGTAACTTTTCAACTTTTGACAGTAGTTCGTCTGGTAGGTGAAAGGCCCACAGTAGCTAACCATGGTGTTCATCCAATGCATGTACACCAGCTGTTAACACATGAAATTAAAAAAAGGAAATTTACAAGGCTAAATGTACATCCTGAGGTTTCAGAGTCTCCCTCCTCCTCCTCCTCCTCCTCCTCCACCTCCTGCTGGTTTGGATGTATCTGCCAGTCCCTTCCCCAGACTAATTGTGGCTTGAATGTGGAAAAAGCTACAACAGGCGCTGGCGTGAGGCACTATGGTTTATATTTAACTCAATCACAGCTTGTTCTCATTGTGAGCTTACCTGCGCAGACACCGTGGCTTCAGCCACCCCGGCTGCATAAGCCTGAATGCTGTCGTTATATTTCTCATTGGTGGTTAATTCCAGCGCTGCCCAGCTGGGAAAGAGAGAGGAAAAGAAGGCCACTAAGAAATTAAAGAAAAGGATGCATTCCTCTTATTATCCTCTCCTGGTGCTGCAAAGGTAGCCTGACCAACTGTATGTTTTGAGCTTCCAGTCCTCAATGTGAAAAACCTGTCTTTTCAATGCTCACTGCTGTATACCAAGTCTTCCCATGTGCATCTTGTTGGTGCGCGTCTGTGTTGTTCTCTTTTCTCAACTGCCTTTCCTGGCACACAGCAACTGCATTTTTGCTTGCGTGCTTTCTTACACGGCCTCCCCTTTCCACTTGGGGTTGGTTTGCAAGCTGCTAGTCCTCAGTGTGAAAACTTGCCTGTTCACTTCTCCCTACTGTATAAAAATCCATCCCTTTACTTTCATAGCACAGTAGTAACCCCCTTAAAATTTCTGACCAAGTCTTTCCACATGCATCTAGTTGTTTTGTGTGTGTGTGTGTGTGTGTGTGTGTTTTCCTCTTCTCTCAGTTGTCTGTCTCTTGTCTTTCCTGGCACAGTAACCATATTTTGCTTGCATACTTTCTCACACGGCCTTGCCAATACACTTTGCGTTGACTTCAAGCTTCTAGCCCTCAGTGAGTAATCATCCATAAGGAACCCTATTGAACAGCTAGGGTTCCTTCCCCCTCTGTGCTGTTAATCAGTCCCTTTTGACATCTTCCCCTCTTCTGTTGAGTCATGCCTTTCCTTCAAATCCACATTCAAGGTTTTATCTCTTAAAATGTCCTTGGGTTTCTTTCTTTATCCAGCACACCTTATCAAGCCCTTTAACTTTCGAAACCATTGTCCCTGGATAAAAAGGCCTCCATGAACACATCTGCATATAAATCTCACCCAGTTAATTTTTAAGGAACTGCAACAACACAGGAAGTGCATCAGGGACTTGCTGAATCAAAGTTCTCTCTAGCTTAAGGGGCAGGAAGAAAAAAAAAAAAGATAAGAAAATTTGCCTTCCCCCCCCCCCCCCCAAAACCTGAACTACAACAGGTTTTGTCATCCAAACCAGTTATCCCAT